CGCCCGGCCCCGCGCCCTGCAGTGAGCTCCTCACGGCTGAGGCCCGTCCCAGCCGTTCGGCGTGCCGCAACCCTGAGCACCGCCGCTGGAGTTTCCTCCTCACACGGCTTAAAACACAGTCATATTCCTGTGGCAGAGCAAGCACTGCCCAAGGCATCACTCTAAAAATATTCCAGCGTGCGTAACTTATTTACCTGGTTTTACTCATTTTGGACACCTGAGCATAAAGCCCCGTTCATTTAGGAAACATAATTGCAAATTATAATTATAAAATGATAATTATAAAGCTATATACACCCTGGGATAATTTGCCTGTCTCCTGCTGACGAGAACCATGCGCTCCCAGCTTCACACATCTCTCTGCCGCCTTCTCGCTTTGGCCTGTCTGCCAAGCCGGTCTCTTTTCTGTATTTTCTGGTAAAGAAAATAGAGCATCACGTCCCTTAGAACAGTAGATCAATAGTATTCATGCTTTTAAAAAAGATAAAATAACCTGATAATTGAGCCCTGCATGTGATCAAAGTTTTAACTGTTCTGCTCTGTGTTAGACCGTCAACTCTACTGATGGGATGAAGTGTAGGCAGCATTTGTGTATAAAATGGTCCATGTATGAAAATACCAAGATAATTTATTTTCAAAGATAAACATGTTGACAGGTAAAAATAAATAAGCTATTTTCCCCTTAGGGAATAATGGAAAAAGCCCTTTCCAGAGAATAAGTGTTTTCTGACAAAGCAGTACCGACTGTCTAGCTCCTTGTTTACTTTTCCATTTGTACCATCTATTCAGCTACTTATACATTTTTTTCAGAATTCAAAATTGAATACTATGATTCAGAAGTTTACTGGAGTTTGACTGTTGCCTGTTCATTTTTGGCATCCTTATCTGGGTTTATTGCCTTTTCTGTCTAAGCTAAGTTATGCCATAGGTTATAAACTGTCAAAAGATAATAAATTAGCGACTGAATACAATACATAAACAGGATATAAAAGCAGTGCTAAATTTTGTAACAAGTTTTGACCTCTATATTAAATTAACTGTTCAGCCTGAATAAATTCAACAATTTCATGACTATGATGTTTATAACTGGAAATGGTTTGTAACCTCTGTTAATTTGAGTAGATAGCCAAGAACCAAATCTCTTCTCATTTGAACAACTGGTGAGAGATATCAAGAGATACATTGATTAACAAGCAAAACTAAACAAAGAATGATCAAAACTCTCCCTTTCAGCAGAAGGGGAATCCAAGGGCAGGAGATCTGCTTTTGTGCTCTTACAGAACACATCTTCATCCTGCTCAGGTTTCCCACTGCTGCCTGTCAAGGCTCCCACACTGTCTCTGAACTCGAGATTTATTTTATTTTTAGGGTGTGGTTCTGTGTCAGCTGCACTCAGTGTCAGCTGCGCTCAGTGTCCCACGTCAGCTGCTCTCCGTGTCCTACGGCAGGCAGACCGGGAAGAAGAGAGGAAGTTGCCTCCTCTATTGAGGAAGAGCACAAGCATAGGTCCCAGATGACAGATAATATCCCAAATTCTGCAGGATTTGTGAACCACATCTGCCTCTGCAAAGAGAATTACCTGGGGTTTTATCTGCTGGCTTCAGAAACATCACTTATGGGGCTTTCGTTTTTTTTTTTTTTTTTTTTTTTTTTTTTTTTTTTTTTACTTGATTAGAGTTGATTTTTACTCGATTAGTTGGCACAACTGCTGAGGCAGTAACTTCCCGCCCTTCTTTGCACACTGGAACAAATACCCTGGAGCACAGGGGAAATCTTAAACCAGTTTTGCCACTAGAAGACAGGAGAAACCTTCTGATGACTTTCCCAGAAAATAATAAGCCTCATTCAAAGTACTATGAACCATAAAGTTTCCTGAACTAACTCAAAAGTAAGCTTGAAGAAGGTTTAAATAACCCATTATACACCATTTTTTTGGTGACAAACTGTTTTCAGTTTGTTCCTGTTACTAGATATTGCAATGAGTTAGGAAATGTATACGTAATTCCTCTAATACAGAGCAGTCAAGGAGTTGTCTTATTTAAATAGACTTGGACTTTCCCACTAGTAATTCTTGGTGCTTCATCTACAAAACAAAAAAATATATATATAATTTATACTTATTTAATTCATCCATTTGAAAAAGTTTAAGTTTTTGTGTGTTTTATTACTCAGTTCTTCATTTCCTTTTTACTACTTCATTACTATAATTGATTGTTTCTCCCACTTTCTAAACAGTTATCTTGAATAAAGAACAAATAGAGAGGCTACTGTTTAATTTCTGCAACGTGCTGCTTCCACATGCTAAACAAAGCACAGAAGAGATGCCAGTGCATTGTACTGATAAAAGGCTCAGTTTACTGGAGGCTGTGGTTTAAGCTCTGCAGCTATCACCGCAGAGAACATCATGCTCATTTCTAGATTTATATTGTTTGAAACATAATCTTGGACACTTTCCAAAGCCAAGTATTTAAGGGTTTATATTAGGGTTTATTTCTTTTCTGTGAGTGGTATTGTTAGCCTTTAATGGAGGATGAAGATAAGCAGGTCTGGAACCAAAGAACCTTGGGAGTTGTCCTGCTTCCCAGTTATGTCTGAAAATCAAATTCCTTAAGCACGACTCAAGTTCCAACTGTTTTCTTTATAACTTTGGGTACGTATAGCAGTAAATCAATGTACTGATCCTTCAGCTATTGTTTGACTATGTGGCTGTATTTCATGCCTCAATGAACCCCCCCCCACCCCCAAAAAAAAAGTCTTACCAAATCATCATAGTGACCAACTTGTGAGGTTGTTCCATAACACTCCAAAAATGTTCCTCCTAAAATCTGTACACTAAGTGCATCTGCTTAACTACTGAATTTATTTTTATTCTGTTTTGTTTAATTTTGGATTCGCCTCATTTGGTTTTTGCAGTGATTAATTATAGGCTTATTTCAGACAATGTCAAAGTGCCCCACTCAAAGCTGCTTTTCCACATCAGAGCCATAGAAGAACTGGGATTGGAAGGGACCTCTGGAAATCACCTGGCTTGACCCCCTTCTCAAGCTAGGCCAGCTAGAGCGGATTGTCCAGGAGATCTCAAGATCTTGATTTTATGAGAACTGTCAGTTATGAAATTGTGATTTATTCTTTCTTACTTTAAATATTAGAAAGTAATTGTGTATCTTTGTAATAAAAGATGAAGACAAGAACCAGAATAACATATAGCATCATTCGGGGGCAAGAGATCTCAGGGCCTGGTACTGCATCGTTTTTCAAATGAGTCACTTTCACTTCCAAAGGGAGAATCAACTCAGATCTTAAAAACCTAAATAAGAAACCTTTACCAAAATAAAATCATTTCCACAAACTCTACCTGCTTTGATGAAAGAGTTTATTATTTACAAGGGCCTAGACCAAAGTGGTGTTCAAAACAGATCCTAATCGCCATACTGTATCACCAGTGCTTCATATTGATTCTACTACAGTCAAGTCTAGTGTGATTGCTGTTAGTATTTTCAATGATCCTTACAGGGCTTGTTGGTTTTGGTATTTGTGGGAGGCGGCAAAGAAAATTTTGAGCAAGTCACGGTTTGTGGGTATTATGTGTGTGGATAAGCATTCTGATATCTCATGGCAATGCCTCCTCCCTTGTCAAACAACCCCAGGGACAACAACACCCAAACCTGAAGTTTTGTTCACACTGGTTTGGTCAGCAGTGATGTAGAAGTTTATCAGTAAGAACTATCTAAACACGTCCTTCTCTCCCCAGTCTAGTTGTATTACAATCAAGGAACCAAGTACAAGCACAAATTTTCAAAATCCACGGCAGACTTGTAGTGACTCTAACAAATGAAAATATACCAGGACCAAATGATTTACTAGCACCTTGACTCCGTGGTTACATTTAAAGTGCAGCATAGTTATGCTCATGTTTTTCTAGTTTCCAGTGTTAGTCTGAGTCATGAAATTCATTTTTTCGTTTTGTTTCATTCTGTTTTTTTAAGAGAAACAACAGCTTCTTATAGATGCTCAAAATAGTTATTTGGATTATTTCCGGGCTTGAATTAGGATTTCTAACATCCTAATTGTTACTTTCTACTTTGTCCAGTATGAACTATTTCTTAAAGGCAGAAATGAAGCCTACATCACATGGAAAAAGAAATTTGCTAAAGCCCAACTTAGCATTGAAGAAATGGAGTTCTGCTCTAAAATTCTAAACTTTCTATCTGACCCACTGCAATTTTTATAATATTTCAGCCTACCAGGTTGAGAAAGTGTGAGTAAACAAATTAATCTATTGGGGGTATAGCTTCTAAATGAATGCATTCAAAGGACTTGTAAGAGGAGTTTTCGCCTAAGGATCAGTTTTTCACTTAGGGAGGGATCATTCTGGAAGACACATAATTATTCTTCAAAGCTCTGAGTCAGAAAGTCTGGTTTACCAGCCAGTGGTTGGTACCTATCGCAGAATAAATCTCAGCTGAGGGAACTCTAGACAGGAAAAATTCTGACTAATCTGACTAAGAAATGATAATGAGATCTTGTCTGCAAGGTAGAATCTGAGGGAACTATCAGAAACAAAGCTAATCAAGAGGAAATTTTGAGGCCATGGAGAGAGCTTAAATTTATGCAGTTCCTTCATTTTCTTTCTGGATGTTGGGACTGAACAAAGGAGGTCTCAGGCAATAAGAAAACCTGGTCTCGTGTTCCCTTATAAGTTTAACTGTTTGTGTCTTGTTTGCTAGGAGGCCTTTGAAAGCCTTGGAAAGGTCTCTCTGTGTCTCCTCCCTTAAAACATGGAAGAGATTAAGGATACTGTCTCTTTAATGCAATAAGCAATTAGTTTAAAGGGCTTTCTTTGTACGTAGGTATTTGGCTTCAATTCTATTTCTGCCTATATAAGATCAGGATTGGAGCTTTCACCTCTTAAGCACGTGCTTCAACCACTAGATACTTGCTTTGATTAGGGTTGTCTCCTCTTTGTTTTTAATGAAGGTATAATCTATTTCTTTGGACCAGAGAGAATAAAAAATGGGACTTGATTTGACAGCCAAGAGCAAAGCTACTTGCCTAAGAAGAAGATAGTATGGTTATGGACACTGTCCCAAGAACACAGGATGTATTTTTCTGTCTGCATGTGGATTCAAAAAAATCACTGAAAACAAGGACTGGAGCCCAGCAGACCCTTTCAAGATTGCAGACACTAACATTAGAGCCTGGTATGAAAGAGAAAAGAAAGTGGTGCAGTTACCTTCAGCTGTGATTTTTGAACCTGTTCTGGTTGCTATTACATTTCTTGGTGCACAAGACCCTGTTGATATTCAATAGATGTTCCCCAGAAATGCCTGATAGATAGAGCTCTCTCAAGGGGATTTACATAGAGGAACGCTGATGTTTGGGACCCTGTTTAGGCATAAGTTGGTATTAGCTGTGTCTGAAGCGCCAAGCCAAAAGTGCCTTCAAGGGCCTGGGAAACTTTTAAGGATATGTTTTAAAGCTCAGGTCTCCTAAATTAACAACATCATCTCCTAAAATCACTGTCTTGGAGAATGGAGAAAAGAGATCTCACAGAAGCAACTTCTAAGCCCGACAAGAAGACTACATAAAAACAGCAAAGCCCATCCTATGTCAAAAGGAGTTGTGAAAGGAAACTCTTTGTTTTGAATGTTGTGGAGAACGGTGCTATGAATCCTCAGTGTGTAGTGTGGCTTGCTTGGTGTGTGATAGAGGCAACTTCAATTGGTCACAGCTGGGCAAGGCCTCATTGAGGAATCCAATGATAGTCCTGGTAGGTGGAAAACTAAGGTGGCACAATAGCATTAGGGGAGGTCACTAAGCATGAAAAAAAGCTGCATTAATGGCATTTTTACAAAGGCTGCAATCACACCACTCCATGCATAAAGCAATATTCCCCCAAAATTTTAGAAGTATTTTCTTGATGGCAGGGTTCATCTGCAACGATTTTAGCAGCATGTATGAATGAAACTACCGAAGTAGCTGAGCTGAGGAAGGTCACTGTTGCATGGCAGCGAGCAGAGGGGCAGGAAGGCTGCATGGAAAGGAAACCTAGGACTTGGAAACCTAGGACTACGTTGTGGTTCTGTGGTGACTGCTGCCTGTCTGCAAGGCGGGAACAGAAAGTGCTTTGAGCAGAGCCTGGCGCCAGCCCCTGCCCTGGAGACCTCTGTAGTGCCTCTCACACTGCAGTGTTTTCTAGTTTCCAGAACCAGCAGGCAGAGCAGCACAAAATGAGAAGCCCGGGTATTCTAATTAACAGAATTCTATTGAATTCCATTATCCACCCAGCCCAAGGGTCTTCCTTGTCCTCATTTTTTCTACCCCTTTTGCTATTTTGAAAACATAAAGAGACGGTTTTCTTTCAAGTTATATGGATTTTAATGTTAAAAACTACAGATGAGGATCTGAATTAAGCCACCCTAACTTCTGAGTCTCAGTCATCAGTAACAACCTGCACTTTCTGAAATATGAAAGCAGCAAACTTATTTGAAAATGAAAGAATTATGTAAAGTATAAATATTAATCAAGTTTTCATGTAATGAATAATTCAAGATTGACCTTGCTTAAGTGTAGCAAAGAGCTTTATTCGCTCTTCAATAGAAAGGGACTG